TGCCACAGCCCAGGTTTCCATGTAAATAGGTAAAGGTTACTAGGTTTACACACCATGATTTTTCTGGGGGTGTCAAGGACTCTGATAAAGAGATTTTCTTTGCCTGGCAATGGCCTTTCCTTAGCAGGTTCAGTTACTGAAGAGCAGTTTAATCTGTGCCCCTTAGAAGGAAGACTGCAAACAGCCTCCCACCTCTCTCCTCCCCAGCGCCATCTCTGAGGCATCTTTACACGACTCTGGGAAGCGTGAAGTCTGGGCCTTGCCGTAGCACTCTGGGCTCTCATGTCATGGAAAGTCCACGGCCCGTGAAGCAGCCTGTAGGGCAGGAGGGATGAAGACCATGACAGCAATGAGTTGTGACCCGCGGGGTGACAGGGAGAAGCCTGGGCTGCCAGTCAAGGTGGAAACTATCACATTTTGAGCATTTCCGGGCAAAAGGGAAAGGGGCGTGGGTTTGGAAGAAAGGGACTGGGTGCGGTGGGGATGGACTATTGCCACAGGCGCGGAGACAGATTTTCATCCTTAGACCCACTCTGCCCTTTGAGCAGTGGGCTGAGAACCGAGAAGGCACCTGCCTGGCCGTGCCTGGGGTGGCAGGGGATGAAGGAAGCGGGAGGAGCCATCCCAGAGCCTCGCCCAATGGAGAGGCTCCCAAAGTCCAGGTGCCCCAGCCCAAAAGGAAGAGGTTCTGTGGTGTTGTCTCTGGGTCCACAGACAGACGGCAGGCTCCGGCTCGGGCCCTCGGGTCATCCTGCAGTCTTGCTGAGCCTTGGCCGCTCCTATGCAAAATGAAGTGAATTCAGCTGCATCACAGCGCCACTGTCTGTCTCCAGTGGAATGAGGCCTGTGGCTTGTTCTGAGAGCTGTACGTCAATATCAAGCATGTTACTTATGGTAATTGTATTTACGATAATTCAAAGGCTCATGAGTGGCTAGAAGTGAAGCAAATTTGGTCTTAGAGGCTGTGGGGGACCACCTGGGTGACTCTCCTTCAAAGAGGAGAAATTGTCTCCATTTTGGCTGAGCCTGGCCCTATTTCCATGTATTGACATGGACTCCTCCTTACTCCTTCCACTGGCTTTAAGCAATGCATGTGGGTCCAGCCGAGGTGCTGATGGTCGTCTTTGGAGACGGCAGGCAGTGTTTCCCTGACCCTCATCCATTGTTCCCTGTGTGAGCCGGGAAGAGGAGGGATGGAGAGCCAGTGTTCCACGCTGTGGGCTGGGATGGAGCCTCAAGACAGAGGCTGTGACTTCCTGGGGCTTGAAAGATTAAAACATTAGATACTATCTCAATTGTGTGATGCAGATTACTCTGTCTGCATAACCTTCCCTCTGCGTATTGCAGAGGTGATTTCAGGCCTCCTACCTAGCCCAGCTCACAGCACTCACCTACTTCCCGCCATTCTCACAGTCACTCATCCTCAAGCCACTCCTTTCTTCGTGAATGAATAAAACCCCCGGTTCGGCCTTGGATGGAGTCCTTTTGTTCCCGATAGCTATCATCATGGCTGGACTTAAGACCCCTTGGCTCCCCATAACTACAAATATGCTTTAGTGTCTTTATTCTCACCATGGGTTACACTGGAAGTGGTAGACTGGAATTAACCCGCTAGAATTCCAACAACTTTTCCATGGAATTACAAATATAACTTCCAGGGCCGCTATGAGGACCAGGAAGGGCTCTCTATAAGAGGCCAGCAGGTATGGTGATGGTGGAAGGAGATTCTGACTAGCTCGGGTGTCCTTTCCAACTGGCTTCTCCCCCTCCTCCCTCCTTGGCAGCCTGGGGGAGGAGCAGGGGCAGGGACCCAGGCTTCCTGTGCCTGGATCCTGTCTCTGCCATTGCCCAGCTCCCCCACCTTAAGCAAGAGGCTTAGCCTTTCTATACCTTAGTTTTCCTGTCTATAAATTGGGGATGCTATTGGTACTTCACAGGGTGTTGTAGATACTAAATGGCTTGTTACTTGTGTTATATTTTTAAATGACAGGTAACGAAAGCCATGGGCCACCTTTACCAGTGTCATCACTCCAAACAGCCCACTCAGTTGTCCTTCCCCAGCCTCGTTTGTGGAATGCTGGACTTTTCCACCCTGGCAGCCAATCAAGAAACTGGAAAGGGAAGGGCTGGGGATTTAGCTCAGTGGCACAGTACCTGTCTGGCAAGGTCGTGAGTTCGATTCCTGGTAGTGGAAAAAAAAAAAAAAAGAAACTGGAAAGGGAAAAAAAAAGATAGAAATCTTTGGAAAAAATGCAAATATTGTCCTTGGAAGAGGGGAGGGAAAGGGGTGGCTATAGATATGGGTAACTTGTATGATTTACTAGAAATCCTGTAGGTTCTGAAAACTAGGGTTGTCCCCGATGATCCAGTTTAACTTTCTTGACTTTTAATTTGCTCCAACTGTTGGACAGATGTAGCTCTCCTCTGCTCCTCCAGTGCTATCCCCAGGGAGGAATCAAACCCTTTAAGGCTAGAAGAGACCTATGAGGTCACTCAAGCCAACGGAATGGTGAGGAAGCTGGTGGGCACCTGCGGAATGTACTCCCCAGATGCTGGCGACACTTGGGCTTACAGTAGAGGGAGGAAAAGAAGTAAACGTGGGCAAGGGACTGGAAGGGTAACCCCGTCAGGGCGAAGAGAAGGAGCAAGTAGGTCCGTGCGGTTGGACCTAAGGTGCCGGAGGGTGGAGGTGGACGAGGCTGAGAGACCAGGGTGCAGGAAGAAATGCGCCCTGCAGTGGAGCAGAATTTGAGCTTGGGGAATGGGAGGCCTCCGGGGGGATTTCAGCAGAGGAGCTGTGCAAGCAGGTGTACGGTCTGGAGAAGAGACGCAGGGTGAACTGGGTGGAGGATGAAGCGGGGTGCGCAGGTCTGGAGCCAGCTGTCCAGCTACCTTTCTCGAAGCTCGTCTTCACGGGTGCCCTGGTGGATCACAGGACTTTCTAGAGACCAAGGCCCCAGAGTCCCAGTGGCACTGCACGTACACGCGTGCAACGTGCACACAAGCACGCACCCCACCCGCTGCGCTACCCATTCTCATGTATCTGAGTAGTCCCCGTACCCCAGCACAGCCCCGTAACCTGGGGCATGAGACTTGGGCCCAAATGAGAGGACATCTCTCCTTCCCACCCCACCATCAAAATGTTTGCTTCAAGAGGGGCGAGTGACTCAGTATGGGCTCCACTCTTCTGCGGGTCCTGAGGGGTGAATCTTGCAGATAGGAGACCAGGAGCTGCTGCTGCTGCTGTTGTCTACTGGAGGAACAGCAGCGCCGGGACACAGCTGGCCCAAAAGGGTAGCAAAAGGCCAGCGAAATGGACCCAAAGCCCTCATAACAAGGTGGGACTAGATCAAACTGGGCCTGAAGCACATACCCCTCCCCACAGAGCAAACTTCTCGACCTTTCCGTTCTGTGAGCCAAAGCGTCCCATTGTTTTACGGACTTTTTTCTTCCTCTTGAAAGCTTGGCGCTGAGGGGCAATAAAGTCTTCATCTAATGCAATGCAACCAGGACGGATCGGCTCTAAACACGTAAAAAGAAATCAGTACGGCGTTTTCTTGACATCATTTAGAAAACTTAAAAAATCTTTGGAATAGAAATCATTTTGCAAGGGGCTGGGGATTTAGCTCAGCGGCAAAAGCGCCTGCCTGGCAAGCGCAAGGTCGTGAGTTCGGTTCCCGGTACCAGAGAAAAACCAAAAAAAAAAAAAAAAAAAAGAAATCATTTTGCAAAGCTCTCTGACGGGACCTGCCGCCCGGGGCCCCTAAAGCAGTGGTGCGCTGCCACCTGCTGGCCGCAAGGAGAACGCGCTCCCAGAAAGACGCTGGAGCTCGTTCGCGGGGAGAGGCTCGGAGGGTCTGGAGAAGCGGAAGCCGCTCTTCCACTGTGCGCGTTTCTGAGCGGTTTCGGATTTTGGTTGGCAGGCATTATTTTTATAGTCGGAGAAAATAGAGATATTCACTTCTGAAAATATAGCTTTCGTGTCTTGTGACATCTATTCTTTCTACTTCACTATTTTCATAAAATCTTGTTCCTTGAAAAGCAATAGCTACAACCACGTATAACACAATCAAAGCTCCGCCCCATCGCTCCTGGAAACACACACACACACACACACACACACACACACACACACACGCTGGAAGCAGCAGCTCCTTCTTCCAGAGTTCTTCACTCTCAGGATTAAGAATTCTCTGCAAATTCTTGTGTTTTTCCAGCAGTTTAAGAATTGCTTACCCTGTTCTTGATACAACTTTGATATTTTTGCACAATGGCTTCTTTGGAATTTGGAATCTCTTGTACTCAGGCCTCAACCCCGACTGAGGATATAAGATCTCCATTCCAGCTGAGGTGATGCCCACCTGTAATCCCAGCACTCTGGGAGGCTGAGGCAGGATGCTCACAAAATCGAGCCCAGCCTGGGCAATTTACCAAGCGTCAAAATAAAAAGGGCTGGAGATATAGCTCAGTAACTCAGTTAAGCCCTGAGTCAAATCCCCAGTACAAAAAGAATAAAAGAAACTCATCCCAAGTGCTGTTGGGAGGTCTCTCCTGCCTCTAGTGAGGTGCGCCTGACCAGGACCCAGAGAGCAGCAGCAGCAGCAGCCCGCCGGCAGGTGGCGCCCAGCCCAGCCTTATCGCAGGGCCCGCGCCTGGCGCCCGGGGCGGAACGGTGGCCGTCCCCAATCCTCCCTGAGCTGCGGCCTCTCAGCCCGCCAAAAGGTTGGCCTGGGTGTCGCTGGTCCTTGGCTTCTGCTCCTCTGGAAGCCCTGCAACTCTCACGGGCCTGACAGCGGCCGTTCCCGGCGGTGCCGGCCCCGCGGCCCTGCGCCCTGGCTG